GCATGAGCATATTCTTTCTATACAGACGGGGGAACATTTGCCTCATTACTGTCAATTTTTCTGAATTTTCTTGGGTTCTCTGTAGGTGGCATTTGGGCTGAATAGCATATCATAAGCAAGGAGTTTAGTTAGGAGCTACAGCTCTGCCAGTAATTATAGTGACAGTGCAAGGCAGCCCATATTCCTAATCGGCAGCACGATTCCATGCTCATCATAGTTACTCTTGAATCTGTCACTTTCTCAAGACATTTTTCATCATATGCATCCAACTTGGATTGCTTTGAGTCAGAAGGGGTAAGAAATATTATGTGCTTTCCTTCAGTGTCATTGAAATGTGTGGGAGATGTCTATAGCCTGTCTTCTATAAATGTCTATGGAATGATTTAGCACGAGACAAGTCATGTGCTGAATGGCGTTTTCACATTCTAAATTGAAATGTCCGCAGGCGGATTATAAAGTGTGAAACACACCTGTGGCCCTTTCTTTATTCACTAATTGCGGATTTAACAATGGCAAGCATCAGTGAACAAGAACGTGGAACTCAGGTTGGTCGACTAGGAAGGTTTTTAAAGACATTTAACTTCTGGTCTGAAGCCTCAGAAAAAAAATGTTATTGCCGAAAACAAACATTGCTCACCTTGCAGGGTGGTGTTTTGGATAATTGCAGGGAGGGAGCAAATTCAGTCCGGTTTCCATTTTAGATAAGGAATTAACAGATTAAACTCCACATTTCACAGCTTGGTGGGTATTTACAGTGGTTTCTCCCAGGCTTTTTTTCTTAGTTATCCACCTTAGCTGCTCATTGTGTGGCTGTAGTTCTTTTCCTTCTGTGATTCTGTATTCTTACTGAGTAGTACAATATTCTGACGCATGTGCTGGCCCATCCCGTTTTAAATGTACCCAGGCATTTACCTTGTGCTCAGGTGCAATGATTTTCAGATTCGGGAACATTCTGATTTCTTAGACTGCTTTTATGCCCAGCAAACCACTGCTCTTTCGGTTTGGACAATAAATCCAGTTGCAGATGTTCAAAACTGCAAGGCCTTGAGAGAGTGTGCTGTTGCTTTAGGTTACTTTGAGGTTTTGCCTGACTGGGTAGCTACTGTAACCTTTGTACTGCAAGCAAAGGGTCTGAATCAGAACAATTGTTTGTATATTGGGCTTCTTGATTAGATTGGATTGTGAATGCTGTGCATAGAGAGAGCTTTGGGAAATTTCCTCATTTAGTATCCGATGTGTAATACTCTAATGTGTATGCCTACGTTCATGTTGGATTTTAAGTGACAAGCACCATGTATGCAGTAACGGACGTTGAAAATGATGTAGTGCAGAGTTTGTGTGTCAGAAAGCACATGTGACTGGCAATGTTCTTCTTAAGACTGTTCTGTCAGGAGCAGACACCTGGAGTGCAGATTAGATCTGTCTATTTCACAGTTTTTCCTTTTCCGTTCCTTAGCCCCCCTGCACTACATTTGGAAATGACAGTACCTGAGTGTGCTGCCTGTGTAGTATCAAAAATCTGCAAAAAGCTCAGCGATCACTGCAAGAAAGCAAAATATTTTTCTTCCCGTTTTACAATCTCGTTTGATGCATCATTCACGTTTGACTCCCATGGAATCTTGCAAGGTCACACGTGTAAGTCTGTTTCGTTGAAAGTAAATTTCCAGCTCGGATGCTTAAGACTTAAGCTGGGTCTCAAACAGAAAACATTATTATTTGCTTAGCAGATGCCCTTCCTTTGGGTGTATTACAAAATATGCAGTGATAGTTGAAACAGATGCAGGTTCTCTGGTAGGGTGGGAGTACTGGATGGTCGCTAAAGATCGGGATGTCCAAGAGACCAGAATTTTGTGAGTGAAAGACAATGAAGAGGGTTAACTAAGCAAGAATTGGCAATAATATACAACACTTTTGGAATCTGGTAAATAATTTTACAATTAAGTCAAAGAGAAATGGGAATCCGGTGTTAAGGGTATTATCTAAAAAAAACTTTTGTATGTTTTGTTGATGCAAGTTCAGAAATGTTAACTGCGCTGGATTTTTTATTTGTTTCTTGTTGGGGGGAGAAAAAGCCATTGTTTCTGAACGCAGCTGGAATAAATTTGATTGTTACTTCCTAGTTCAGCCTAAGATCCAGCCAATTAGCATTTTTTTAAACTTCTAAAGGAAAAGCAATATTTCATTTCTACATTGCAAACTTCTCAGAAATTCAGCAGAGTGAGAATTTGTCAGAATTAATGCCAGTGTAAATGAGTGCTCCTTAGGGCACCTTAGCCCGTTGTGCCACTTGGCAGTGTGTGGTCAGAGCAGTCTCACTTTGATCCCCAACTTCACTCCTGTCAGATAGTTGGAGAAAAGTGTCCCAGTTTGTGTGTGGTTGTTTTTTCCCATGCTAGTTATTATGCGAGTAATTTGATCTCAGGGAAGAATGGAATAGCCACTTCACCAAACATACAGAGATAATATCTCAGGAAATGTTTTAGATATGTACTTACTAGTGTGAACAGGAAAGGCTCTGATTATTTCCGAGATTTCCAAGATTTGTGATTCCCACACATTTATTGAGATTCCCGTTTCTTTCAGACACTGCAAGGCAGAGATGCAAAGGCTGGAAAACTATTTTAGAAGTGTGATAAGCGTACACTATGTATCCTTTTATTTTCTGCAGCCCCATCAAGGTTATACCTACATTTGGCTGAAGGTAGTGTTCCATCATCCCAGTTATTTGTGGTTTTCGAGAATTCCATTCAATATCTGATCCAGCATCAACAATATCTGGGTTCCTTTTAAGACAAAAGGGGGTAAGGTTTTGTGGTGAAAGTGGAAACCGGTTTCCCGATGTGCCCTCAGCTATTCAGTCCTCTGCAAAAAGGTTATTGCACTGTGATTTTACTGAAGGCACCCAGGTCTGCAGGATTATTGATGTATTGCACAGTTCACCATTTTGCTCCTGGAAGCATCGGGTATTCCAGTCAGCTGTACTGACAAACAGCACTGTTTGAGCAGGATATGTCCCAGCTTCCGCACGGAGGTGAGATGGAAGGCGTGTGGTTGTGATGCGTCATATCCCTCTTTTCTGTCTTTGTGGGTGCCGTCCATTCTCATCACCCGACCCGTATTATAATGATCGTTCTCACTCCAAGCTGAGTTGCACACCTGCTCTTAATGTCTTGAAGGCACATGTGCGATGGCTTTTGGAGAACACGTGATTGTTCTCCCTACATCTGTTCTGTATGGGTTGCTTTCCATCGACAAATGAATGCATACATTTCTGTGTGAGGACTGTTTTATGAATTAAGTGCACTGGAACATCAGATGCTTCTCTTTTTCATGCTGTGCCTAGTACTGTTTTTAAAGTCCATGGACTCCAGTTGTCGTCTACCTTCCTCCTTTCTGGATTCCTTTCTGACCGGCTTCATGTCTGACTAGAATTGCTGCTGGAATTCTCTGTGCTTCCAGCCACCGTAACTGAGTGCGCTAATAATAATTGATCATTCCTTACACTTATATAGCGCTTGTCTTAAAGTGCTTTACAGGTAATGGGAAATCCCACTACCACCACCAATATGTAGCCCCCCACCTGGATGATGTGATGGCAGCTATTGTGCACCAGTAGGTTCACCACACACCAGCTCTCAGTGGGGAGGAGAGCAGAGTGATGAAGCCAATTCATAGATGGGGGGGTTATTAGGAGGCCGTGATTGGTAAAGGCCAAGGGGAAGTTTGGTTCTAAAAGAGGGTGCTGCGCCACTGGGTGAAAACTCAGATTTTCATGTTTGGAAGCTTTTCTGTAAACCAGGAAGCAACCCACAACCACATTACTGACCTTGAGAAGGGGCTAACAAGTCTTGGCAAATGAGCAATTTTAATATGTGCAACATAATTTCTTCTTCTGTCACCATATAGAACAGCATGGCAGAACTTCAAAGTATTCTGAAATTTGGGAACAACACCCAATGCTAGAATTCTATCCATTTAATCATAGGTACAGCTTAAAATTTGTCATCGAGCTACCTTTTAACGGTTTCTTGGTTCATACACTCTATATTATTTTTTGAAATCCATTTTATTAGGTTAAATCTGGAGATAGAGGATTGTTTCGTTCTCAACTGGCTCATCAGCAGTGCAATATTAAATACTTTATCGGGATCTTCAGATGACTTCATCTGGTTCGGCCGATTAAGGCGAATCTGCATTGTAACTGGCAAATTTTAATGTAAAGGTGCTGATCTTAAAGGGGGAACCCTGATGTGACCATCCAGTCAGTGAAAGCAGGAACTTATTACAGTCTGTCTAGTTTTACCCATAGAAACGCTAGTCTGTTGTCGCTTGCTTGCTTTATTGTGCATATATATTTTTCTAAGCTGTTGTATAACTGGATGCTTTTGTCTGCGCTAAAGAACACAAGGTCACATCCTGCAGTACATTTAGTGCTTTCAGGAAGATTTAGCACATAAATGACTGGTGCACATTTACCTGTAAAAAAAAATGTGGGACACAACCAAATTTGGGGATTTGTGACAAGTACTGAAAAACAAAATTCGGTTAAAAACCTTTACAAGTTTCCTTAACATTATGGGGAGTTAATTTAATTTGCAAACATCAGAGATATTTACCATTGAATGTTAGTAGTCGGAATGCATATGTAGTTTCATTTCATACAAAATGTTTCTATAACATTAAATGAAGCAAGGTTTCTGGTGGATATTTCTAATTCCCAACCCATACTGGATAGTGTTTGACAAAATGTTGTTTTATTAATAAATTAGCCCACCGTTGATTTGAAAAGTTTTTCTGTTTTTATGTTAAAAGGTTCAGTTGTTTTGCTGGTCAGATTTGAAACAGATAGTCATGTTAAAACGCGATGCTGAAGGGTACTAGTTTTTAGTAATTGTTTTTAATCCCTAGATTGATATGAAACCAGTTTGCATGTGTGGTGCTCAGTGGCTGCCCTGGCTGTGCGCTGGTTCTAACTTTTTCTGGGTGTCTGTCTCTTGCAGGTGCAATTCAAGCGATGCTGTGGAGAGGACCATGATGAGGAGATTCTAGGGATTTGCCATAGTATGGCTGCTTCTCGATCCACGCGTGTTACAAGATCATCAGTGGGGATTAATGGATTGGATGACAACTTTTGTGGTCGCACCCTAAGAAACCGTAGCATTGCCCACCCGGAGGATTCCTCGCCCAACCCTCCGCAGAGAGCCCGGTCTCCTAAGAAGAAGCAGGACTGCCAGCAGCCGCCCTCCAAGGGGAATACCTCCAGCAGACTAGCCGACTCGAAACAGCCCCAGGGTTCTAGAGAATCATGGATGAGCCCCAGGAAGAGGGGGCTCTCCTCCTCTGAGAAAGACTCGAACCCCGACAAAGCGGACAACTGCGACCGGAGGCCTTCGAGGGAGGTGTCTCCCGTCCTCAAGCGCATCAAACGCTGCCCGCGCTCCGGGGATGCCCCCAGCTCGGAAGAAGACTCTCCGGTCAAGGCCGAGAAACCCGCGGGCGATCCCAAGGAGGCGGAAGGCGACGCGGACTCGCCCGGCCCGAAACGAGCCCGGCGCTGTCTTCTGCTGGACGATTACGACAAAGGGGAGATCAAAAAGGTCGACAGCCCCGCGGGCAAAAACAGCCAGCCTGGGCTTTCCGACGAGGCCGGCCAGGTAACCAATGGGCTTGACGAACAAGACTTGGACGCCGGTAAAAACTGCCCGGAAGACGCCTCCAAACCGCACCGCGCGGGCTCCTGCGAACCCGCCCAGGATGTCGGTGCCGTCCCTGCCAGCGCGCGGAACAAGTCTTTGTCGCTGCTGAATGGCGGCAAGGCGGACTCTGCCCTAGACCCCGACGATGTGCCTTGTACAAACTCGCATTCCGAGCAGGCGGAGCCCAGCGCCCCCACAGCTCCCGCACCAACCGAGGGCGGCGGCGGCGGCGGCGGCTCGGCCAGGGAGTGTGGCGCGGAAAATACCAATGGTGGCCTATGTGCTGTACAGGACAACAAACCAACCTCAGGAGAACCCGAGCCGCCGGTAGGGCTGGACGGCAGCCCCGCTGAGGCGGCCTCTTTCACGGAACCTCAAGAACACAGATACACACTGAGAACCTCGCCGAGGAGGGCCGCCTGCAGCCGGGGCAGCCCTCACAAGCTGAACTCTCCCTCCAGGGACAGCGGGCCGGCGAAGGAGGAAGACAGGGAGGGCAGCGAGAGCCGGACCCTGCCGTCCGGCGAGGCCGCGTCGGACAGCGAGCCCGGCGCGAGACCGGACCCGGCCCCCTGCGACGGCCCCCCTGGCGAGCACGGGGACGGGACGGTTAAGTTAACGGGAGAGTCAGGGTTGTCAGACAGCAGGCTCTCGAGATCCGCCAAAGAGTTGGTGAGCAGCCACGCCACAGAGGAAGACGAGGATGAGGAAGATCCCGATGTCTATTATTTTGAATCGGATCATTTGGCTTTGAAACACAGCAAAGAGTATGTGTAAAAACGTGGTAACTTATCATGCATTTTGTCGCTACTTGCTGGTGTACTGTACAGTGTGCTTCTACTTGTTGCTCCGATTTTGTTTGGTAAAACGTTATGTCAAAGTTATGAGTTTTTGTTGTTGGTTCGTGACGGAATAAAGTAGGAGGAGAGGGAGACCCTTGGCACATCTTGCAGCTGATTTGATCAGCACTGTAAGGCGTCGTTGCAGTGTGAAGTGTCCCAAATTCTTTGGAGAGGATGTGGACCGCAGGACAGCAACATAAGAGGAACGCTGTGTTGGCAGGGCACGCTTTATTTATTTTGAGCGCCGCAAAGAGGTTTAAACTTGAAGGAATAACCGGCTTATCTTGTGCTTCAATGGTAGACTTGTAAAAGGCGTAGATTAAGAGGACCTGAGCCGTGTATTCTATAAACCACGCTTGGCTTGCTTCTCGGCACGTGACATTACTTAACTATTACTTGGAGCAACATGGTCCTTTTACTATGTCCCATGAGAAAATGTGTAAGGGTGTTTTCATTTCTGTTCATCGGTCTAAAAGAGGTTATAAAAGCATGCCCAGAGAGCACATTTCTGTTTGCAATAGACTCTGAATAGCAAGTGATTTTAAAGGCTCAGGTCTCAGGTCAGTGCTTCATTTTCCGTCGCGAGAGTTGCTCTTTGAGTGCATGAAACATTAAGGTGCACTCTGATATTGTCTTGTTGTTTTTGCCAGTCTGGTGAAGTACTGAAATCCGCTCTACAGTAGTTAAAAACTATTACTGGTTGAGAAAGACCGAGGTGTGTAATTTCATACCACTTATGTGCAACAAAAGAGCAACCAGTCAATTTAAATTCGGGCCTTAACTTGTCAGAAAGTGCAGCTCAGAACGAATTATGATACTAATTAACGTGTTAATGTCCAGGAGCCCTTCTGTTTGTTTTTAATCTGAGCAAATTGCAGTGGATTCCTTTGCACTTGGCCAAGTCAGCCCACAGTGTTCTGTTGCGAATCCAAAGCCTTTTCTATCTACCGTGTTAATTTGTGGGAATAACAGGTTTCCAGTGAACTAAAGCCCTTTTAACAGCTCCGGAGCTGAGGGCCATGTCTTGGAATTGCACGTCAGTTAAGGAGATGCGGCAGAACGGATCGATAGTTCATTTCCATTGCAGGACAGGCAGTCGTGACCCCCCCCGCTGTCGGCAGCATGCTTGTTTCAAGACTGAGGGTTGAGACCGTCGCAGTCGGGCAGGCTGCTCCCTCGGCGCCGATCGCCAGCGGGTCAGCCTGTCAGCCCGGCGTACCGTGCCGAGAGAGAGCAAGGGGCATGGTCCAGGTTACAGGGGTTCTGAGCAGCGGGGCCCCCTGGCGGGGTTCTGAACTTCCTTGTGAAAACAAAAGGATGTCTCTGCCTTCTTCAGCTTGTCCCTCAGGCAAGTGAAGGTGTGTCAGTGAACGTGCAGAAGCTCAGTTCGGGAACGATAAGGCCGAAGCCTCAAAGCACTGAGCAGCGGAAGTGCACGCCCCTGAGCCTGCCTGTAACAGAGGGGATTGGATTGGGCTTTCCAGGGGGGTATGGGGATCAGCGTGTCACCGGGAAAGGGGGGATGCTTTTCCTGCTCAGTTTTTGATGTTCATGTAAATCCTCTGGTGGATCTGCCCGGTGCTCTTTTCCCTGCAACTTAAGAGCTTCTCGATAGGTGGCGTTAAAGCTCAGGATCTGTTTCACGGCAGCTTGCCCAGCGCTTTGTCATTTCGGTTAACAGTGCAAACAGGAAGCGGCTTCTGGGGTGCATGTGTGCTGTAAAAAGCATGCTTGATCCATAGAAAGGGTGACTAGAATATTGGCTTTTAACTGCAGCTTCACAGTCCTAACGGTCCCTCTGAGAAGCGAGTGGCTGGCTGTACTTTGACAAAACCGCCGATTCAGTGACGCATTTTTGAGTTTGAGACATGATGTTACATTAAAACATGTATTGGTAGGATCTCCCGTTTGAAAATATAGAACTGCAGGTTCTTCTCGATTTACACGGCAGATGCATTCCCGACAAGTGGCTCATAAATCAAAAGTGTATACCTTGAAAACAAATTCCCAGTAGGGGTGCATCCACTTCCAGCCATGAGGAATAAAAGCAATGTCGCATTTCTGGAAGGTGTTTATATAGTTGCACTAAGTCATTTTGAAATGTTTAGCAATGTCTTGTAAATGGGTGAGTGGTGACCTGTGTGGAAAAAATGCAGAAGTCTTGTACCCACAGACACTTCTGAACGGCTCTGACTCTTCTGTCTTTTTGCTCTGAGCCTTTTAAATGCAATGTTTGCAGTCTCTTTCATAACAGTACGCCTTTTTTCGGATCTAGATTTTTATCCGATCGTTGGCGTTTAATTGTTCTGTCATTTGAATCTTAAGGTTGATTACTTTTTTTTTTTAAATCCTTTAAAAATCTTGTTTACAAACTTACATCGAATTTCAGTTTTGAAATTTTGAAGATTTCTTTCACAAAGCAACTAAAGCTCGTTCAGTTGACGGATTTTTTTGATATTATAATAAAGATAAGTGAACACACGAAGACATTTTTCTCGATCTCGACGTGTTTAGCGAGTGTGAGGCTCTGGCAGCTGCCACGAAGTCACTAAAGCGATGCTGTTCGCCGGAGGGGTGCGTGGAAACGGGCTGGAGCAAGAACTAATTCCATCCAGGTGTTTTCTGACCTTCCGGTTCAGGGTCACAGGGGAGCTGGAGCCTATCCCAGCATGCAACGGGTACAAGGCAGGATACACCCTGGATGGGTCACCAGCCCAACATGCAGGGCACACACGCAGACCAGGGCCAGTTTTCCCAGAAGCCGTTTAGCCTACTAGTAAGTCTAGAATGTTTTTGGACTGAGGGATGAGACAAAAGGAAATCCAGGCGAACACAGGTAGCACCCCAGGTCTAGAACTGAACCCAGCGTCCCAGTGCTTTAATGCTGGAAAACAGGTGAACAAAGTTTAAAGTCACGTGGTGTGTTTGCGGTGTGTATAGTTTTGGTGTGTTTAGCAAGTGTGAGGTATGTTTTGTCTCTGGAGTACAGACAAAACATACCTCTGAATGTATTTTTGGAAAATGACAAACGGTAAAATATTCTCGTCCTCAAGGGAATTCTTCTATGAGCTTATCAGTGAGCAACATCCAGATTTGCCACAATAAGCCATTGCTGCTAGACGTGAACGTAGATCCCAGATGCTTGCGCTGTAACCCTGTTAATAGCGATAACAAAATATGAGTTCGGATAGTATGATAAGGTATTTTAGGGGAAAACATACAGTGCCAAGAAAAATAACTTCCAGAGAAGAGCTTTAAATAGTCTGCTAGCCTTTAGTCACGTGATGCTTTCTTTCTATTGGATTTATTACCCCAGAACTTCCTTTAGCAGGTCATTTTTCCTGTACAGTCACTTCTCACATTTCTGAGAAGGTTCATTTCCTGGACCCTGTACATATATTGAAATGCTCAGAACTTGAAAATGGAATTTTCCCCTTTTAAGATGCAGTAGAAATAGAAGACGTTCTGTTCCATTCAGGTACCTTTTGTCAATCTAGTGTCCTGTATCATTCATAGATATGTATAAAGAATTTAAGGCAACAGCAGTGAATGTTATGTAGTGTAATGGAAAATCTTGTCTTTGTCTTTTAAATGCTTCTGTACAAGTTTGTAATGCTTTAAACGTTAGCGGATAATTGTAAGATGTCAATACGCTTGTCAGCCGTTCTGAGGGTGTTTAAGTCACCCCCTGCACTTGGAGGCTCATTCTGGATCTCAGAACATAGCGCTGCGCATGACTGGAAATTTAGTCTGCTTTGTGATGTAAATGGGAGGTTTTCCACGTTACTGTGTACGTTTTACTTTTCCAGTGTTGTTTGAAATGCACTCATCAATGCCGATTCTTTCTCACCCCAAAGTCTAAAAATAATGTTGCTGTTCCCCTTTAAATAAAGCGGCTTTAGTGTGATTGCCAGTACCTGATGAAATCACGTGGGCGGTTCCCAGTCAAATAAGTCGGTGAATCAAGCTCCCGACTGAAGTCTGTTAATCAGATTGCTGCCACCCCTTTCCCTCTGATCACTGAAGGCAACGTGAGAGCAGAGCGAACATGCTGTTCTGTGCACATGACTTTATAATGCGTTTTTCCACTGCTGCGATGAATTATGTATTATCCAGGTACTAACCGTTTTGCGCATTCGTTCTGTTGTGCGAGTATTTGTGGGAAGAAAGCCTTAATAATGCATGCATGTTGTTCCCTTTTAGTTACCAGAGGTTGCTTCAGACCATTGCTGTGCTGGAGGCTCAGCGCACTCAAGCTATCCTGGACCTGGAGTGTCTGGCCCGGCGCCAGAAAGAGGCCCTCAGTAACCCTATTGGGTTTGTAGAGCAGCTCCAGAAGCAGGTACAGAGAGCCAGGGCGGCGTTGTTAAGGAGACTGGGGGCGGGGCCGGTGGTGCTGGTTCTGATTGGTTGTGCTGGGTGCCTTTTGGGCACCTTTTTCAGCCCTCGAAGGCACTGGGGTGCAGTGACTTGTCCCCTATCCTCCAGGTGAGTGTCGGCTTGCCTTGCCCACAGCGCGTCGTCCAGCTGCCCGAGATCGCCTGGGACCAGTACACCTCTGGCCTCGGAGACTTTCAGAAGGAGTTCCGCAACAAAAAACGCAACACTAGGAGGCTGAAGCTCATATTTGACAAAGGTAAAACGTCGAAATGGATTTCCCGTGAAGAAGCTAATTGCAGTTGCCGTAATTGAAAGGGACCCGCGGTTCGGTCTTTCTGTCAAAGACAGTGCTGCAGTGGTTTCTCCGTGTCACCTGCAGCTGTACTGGGGGAAAAAAGCGAATCAATTCCGAAATGCAGCAGTAGATTGGGAACGAGCACTTGGGACTGATCCTGATCAGCTATGAAGGCCGTTTCTGTTTTAGTTTAGCCTTTCCTCCAAGCAGAAGGGTTACGGCGCACGTGTAGGTGTTGACTGTCAGCCGAACAGGAAAGGTGCTTTTTTTCCCCCTCGGCTTTCTCTTTTTACGATGCTTCAAGTGCTTTTCTTTTCTCACAATATTTAGAAGCTGTTCAACGGGGGGCCTACAAAAGGACTCAGACCTTTTCTGTGGTGTCCCCTGTTGTCAAATTACAAAATTAGGCTTTTTTTCCCCCCAAATGAATAAGTTACTCAAAACCTGAAAGCACGATCTGAGCACTTACAGGGGTAAGCTAGAATAAATGTGAGCTTTGCACCCCAGCTTGTATATTCTTTGCCCGTTCCTCCAGCTAGATTTGCTCGCGCATGGACAGCAGTTTGCAAGTCACGGCACGGACTCTCAATAGGATTCAAGTCAGGACTTTGACTGGGCCACTCGAGGACATTCGCTTTCTTAATCTTCAGACACTGCAGTGTAGCTTTGGCCTTTTAGATCATTGTTAGATCATTGGGCTTTAGATCATTGTTCTGCTGAATGGTGACGCTTCGCCTCAGTTTGAAGCCTTCACCAGAACAAAACGGATTTCCACTCTGCTCTCTAAGGCGGCTTGGCGGAGTGACTGGGATATTACCGACTGCACATTTTCCACTATTTCAGTGATTGAACTCTACAGCTCTTCCGAATTTGATGTTTGGCCTCACAGTGACATCGGTTTCCTGTTCGCCCAGTTACTCAGTTGGGAGGGGTGGCCTTATGGTTTATTTTTTGTACCCTTCTCTTGATCTGTGGTGTTCAGTTACTTGATCCCTGACCAAGGAGCCTCACAGAGACGGGTATTTTTGTTCTGAAATCATGAGAACCAATATCGCCGCACACAGAGGCCCTTCAACTATTTGTGTGGCTTGTTAAGGTATTATGTTTTCACAGCAGAGCGTTTGAAAACAAACTTATGCAATCACGATGTGTACATTCTTCTCTCATACTATTTGTTATTTTGAACTTCTGGAGTAGGTTGCGTGTATAACATAAATTTAAATTTCAAAGTGTCGTGATTGCAAGCTTTAAAGCAGCAAAACGTGAAAACAGCTCGCCAGGGTCCGACTACTTTTGCAAGGCATTGTGTATAGTGCTTTTGTCTCATCAGTGGGGTTGCCTGCCCGACCAAAAAGTCCTCTGGATTCCAAAAAGGAAGCAGAGTCCTCTGCTTTGTACTCGGCTTTGCCTTCCAGCGACGGCCCAGACCTGGCATCGGGCAGCAGGACGCAGGTATGTGTCTGTCAGTTTTTTCGTGTGTATCGTGAATAACTGATTCTTAATATGACAGCGGTAAAGACGTATGGTGAAACTGGATTTTTAAAGTAGTCATTGATCCCAAGGTCTTGCAGTGACAAATTTGCCAACCTTTTTTCTTTCGCTCAGCAGATGATAAGAGGGAGGGTCTGTGATCAGAGTAAACCTGACACCTTCAACCAGCTCTGGACAGTGGAAGAACAGGTAAGCAAGGGGGACCTGTTAATCAGACCTAAATCGTAATGAATTGAAGTGTAAGTTTTAGAAATCCTCCGATTGAAATATTGAATTTCCCCTCTTTGTGGGAATCTTACACTGCGACATGCAAGTTGTTCTTTAATAACCACCTGTCTTGTTGTTTCATTCTGCTTTGCAGAAAAAGCTGGAGCAGCTCCTCTTGAAATTTCCTCCTGAAGAAGTTGAGTCTAAACGGTGGCAGAAAATAGCAGATGAACTCGGTAACAGAACAGCAAAGCAGGTATTTCCCGATTCCCTTTTGGCTTGCTGAGGTTATTGAGGTCAGCGGTTTCTAACTCTGGTCCTGGAGGCTGGTTTTCACTGCAGCTGAGCTCTACGTCTCCGGTGCAGATTGATGACATCATTGAGCTGCTTACTTGCTTAGATGTTTATTTAGCTGGCTTTTTTGGTCAGTTCTGAGTGTCAAAAATATCCTCCTTCAAGGGTACCGTTTACCACAATTTGAGCACAGTCCTCCACGAATTGATTGTTGCTTCTCACAGAACAGGTTTTACTAATTGAATACACAGGTGGGTGTGGCCCCGTCGGACACGCCCGTGGTGGGTGTGGCCCCGTCGGACACGCCCGTGGTGGGTGTGGCCCAGTGTTAGACTTGTCCCACAGTGACCATTTTTCCTCTGCAGAGGTATTTGTTATTTTTTTGGCAACACACCTGAATCTTCTGAGACTCAGAAGTTGGTACACCTCTTTTTATGAAGGTCACCTGTTCCCAGAAACCTTTTCGTACAGAGAAAATCTGTAAAAAGGACTAATTGTATTATTTCTTATGGGGAAAATTTCCAAAAATTCGGCCCCCCAAAAATGTCACCCCTACTTTTACTTTTTTCACGAAAAAATGATAAAAAGAAACAACAATAATAACATGAATATTGTGGTTTGTCTTTTTAGCAATAAAAAACAGATTACCTGGTCAGACATCATTAATCAGACCTCAATATAGTACTGTACAGTAACCACTTCATTTGCTTTTGGTGTAATTACACACACCCAGGTTTCATTTTCTCAACACCTTCAGGGTCCGTGGTGAAGTCTAAACCAGAAATATGTTTACGTTAAGGAAGAGCGCACACAATGGCGAACAACACATGAATTGAGACGCAGTGAACTGTATCATACACGTCTCTCCTGCCAGTCTGCAGGCTCTGTGCTTGCTTTCACCCGGACTAGTTAGTGCAATGTGATTCGAACACTCGATACGAAACGCCTTCTTTTTCACTCTATTTGGCGGGGGATTCCCCCCCAAATTTTTGGAACGATTTCTTCGTAGTTCTGAAGTTGGCTTTCGTTAATCAAAAATACGGGTATACTGGGTTGATACCAATCACGAATCCTGTTTGATTTAATGAGCAAATTTACAAATATGCCCAAAATAAAAAAAAATGAACACAATAAGCCCGTGACGAAGAACTCGAGCAAAAGCCACATTCGAAACCGCGACTGAGAACCACTGTGTTGGTGTTTGTGAGAAATGGTGTTTGTTTAGAAATCAGATGGGCAGCATGAAAAATATTATAGTACTCCTTTATGCTCTTAAGGACAGTTTTTTTATTTGTAGTGCTATATTATTTGTAGCCAGGCACAGGCTCTGCTGGTTTCTGGATGTTCGTCCCGTACGAGGACCCCAGAGCAACTGGTCACAGCACCTCCGGTCCACAGATGCTGTGGGAGATGGTGCCCTTTCACCTCTTGGCTCTTGCGAGCCCAGGCCCTGGCACCCTCTGTGAAAGCAGAAGGATCTGAAGGGTGCATCACACTAAGGAGACCGTCTGCGTCCCTGCTTGTTCGTAGCGAAAGAGGAGAACGTGTTTAACATTTTTCCTCGTTATCCCTTTGTTCATGTCCATTGTGGGGTTCAGAGGAATTTGATTCATCCTCTATTCGTATAATCGTGTTCTGTTGATCTTCTTCCCTGGGGGATAAGAATGCTTTAGCAGTTGTTGGTCTCTTTGCAGGTAGCCAGCAGGGTACAGAAGTACTTTATAAAACTGACAAAAGCTGGGATTCCAGTACCAGGAAGGACTCCCAATCTCTGCATGTATAGCAAAAAGGTAATGGATACTATCGGTTTGTTCCTTTTGTGTGTTCAGTGATATAACATTTTTACAAAGCATTGTGCAGAACACCATAATGAGCTGTGATTACTTCTAAACCACTCTGTACTCTCAACTCAGCTCATTAAGTAGTCACTGTTAATGAAAAGCAGCACAGTAATGACAAAAGGGAGAAAGATTGCATTGTATGTTGAAAGATTTCCTGTACAGATTGGAAAAAAGAGTGAAATGTTTAATCTAATTAAATTGGACGTCTTTTACCATCCTACATTAAA